ACGCATGCAACAATGGGTGTTGCGCACCGCATGATAAAAGTAGCGCACAGTATAACGAATGACGAACCGCATTAGAGGTCGGCAACAAAAAGCGTTAAAACAGTTTTCCGTTTGAGATAGCTCTGATCTAAATGCGTAGGATGCTGAGAAAACTCGAGGGAAGCGTAGGAAACCATGCAGCTTCTCAAGTGTTTTTTCAGCATCCCACTTGTTGACATCAAAGTATTATTTTCTGAACACTGTTATATATCTCCTCTTTAAAATGACAACTTAACGAATAAATACTCTTTTATTTTCTCTATATGAAAGTCCAAATTTTAAGAGCACGAGCGCGCAGGAAAAAAAAAAAAAAAAAGGCTGGAGTATTTTAGATATTCGAAATAGTTTTTGACCTATCAGAGCGCGCGTAAGAACTCAGTTCTAAAATGGTATTTCAACCAATCAATGCACGCGAAAGGACTTTAGTTATCTAAAAAAGAAATGAATATAGTACACGGTCAAACGGATAACGAAAATGTATGTACGACTGGGAATAATATTAGAATGCATAGGAAAAATAGTGAGCGTTACGTTCAGTTATGAAATTACGGTAGAACGCAGTATCGAGCGGGATTAATTTCCTTTAGTGTCAAGTCATTCTTGTCATTGACTTGATCCATTAGATTAATAGACTGATTGCGCTTTAGCTGTGGTTTGAAAATATATATTTCAAATTTTTTTTAAGTGTCAAAAAGGGGATAACATTAATTTTCTTTTTTTCTTTTTAGTTTATTCCACTTATTTATAACGGTATTGACGTATAGAATATGATTTTTAAAAAATATTTAAAATTTAGGTAGAGAGCACTTAAGTAAAAAGTAAGTAAAAAAGTAAAAGTAAATAAGAAAATAATAATAATAATGAGGCAATTTTTGTTTGGAAGGTTTGAATAGGACGCTAAAGAACGGTAAACAATCTTTGTCTCGTTAGGTATAATTAACACTGATCTTAAGGTCTATGTCGAATTAAAGTGTAGAAACCTTTTATGAAAACACAAAGACCAAAAAGATTCCTTCCTCTGCGTTCATTAATTATTCTAACCCTGTATCGTTTTAAATTCAAATCTCAGCATCCATAAAAATATATCCTAAGCCGTCGTAAATTGTTTCCTATGATTTTAGGTTTAGTATATAGGAAACACATGTGGATTAATCTACGAAAGCTCGAGAACAAACGATCAGTCGAAACGCAGGTATTTTGGTATCAGCTAATTCACAAGGCGTTCCCTTTATGATAAACAATGAAGCACTTGAGCATTTAATAGTACTTTTCATGCTCAAAATACATCATGTTTAATTTCCTTAAGTATATCCTAAAACTCCTAAAAAAATACCTTCAAATAAATAAATTATAAGAGGTCTTTTTTAGACTTACCTTTTTTCATTCACCGAACGTACGCTACGAAATGCCAATGTGTACTTATCTCTCGATTCTATCATATATAATACTTTTCATTATGTTATTTGCGCGTGCATCTATAAGCGTCTCATAAGTGCAGAGCTTTACAGATCCAGATGTATTTTGCGGTATCTTTTCATGTTTTTTCCCATCCTTTCTCTTGGCGGTGTTCGATTCTGATCAAACATGTCGCATTATTTGATGTCAAAATAAGGCAACAGTGGTAAGCTTTGAAGGAAAGCCTGCAGGAAGAAATATGAAGGGATAAAAGGAGGAAGTAAAGGAGAAAAAATTGAATTTAATGCTGATATAAGTGTCATGATATTCCAGTAATAAACGCATAGGTGTTATAGTTGAATGTTCATTTTAAATAAAGAAACAAAATACTCCATTTTACAATAGATGATACGTAGATAGAAGTAGATAAAGTATTTTTATCATTATATCTTGCGAAAAGTATTTTAAAATCAAAAATTAAATCATGTCTTAGTTTAATTATTGGCATCAATTTCTTTCCAAGTTTTAACTTTCTAACCGTGACATCAAGACATCAAGCTATATCGAAAAAATATATTTTCCAAATTTTTTTTGCAGTCACATTTTTATATAGAATGATAACCAATTGTAAACATCCATAATAATATACAGAGAATGGATGAATTTTTGAGCCTTGAAATCTTTATAAAGAAATGTATGCTGGCAATTTTTGCCTGAAAACAAACATTTCTTTGTAACAATTTGGCATCCCGAGTCATGAAATAGGCTTTTTTCCCTTTACGAAAAGACATCAGTTTCCAGCTGTTCAGTTGTATTGCAAGCTTTACCGAGAGCTAGTCGGGTTGCTCGAATCAATTCCGGAAATTACAACGCATATTAAAGAGCTTAATTAAAGAGCATCAGTTTGAGTGAATGTAGTGTCGAGCACATGGTTCATAAAAATACTGCATCTGTTAGCAACCGAATTGTCTTCTTCTACTGTTGTGGGACTAATATGGAACACATTTGCATCCCACATGGAGAGGAGTGAAAAATAAATAAATAAATAAAATAAATTAGTTTGGTTGCCATTGTTAATCCACTACGGTCTAGGGGCCTTAGGGAGAGCTTCCTGATCAGTTTGTAGTTCTTCGGAAAGCGGTGTCTGGAAAAAAACTGCATGTCTAGTATTGGTTACAATCCGCAACATCACAGGCAATAATGTTTATAGGACACAATATATCTCAGAAAAATAAACTCTTATATACGCTATCCCATTTAGTATTTTTACACAAGTGAATATAATAAATCCTGTGCGCTCATTGCTCACAATTTACGTCTTATGCTGTTTTATTATAAATACACAGGTGATTATTGAAAATGTCGCGCGCTGATTGGTCGAGAAAATCAGATTATCACACGATAATCACCTCCAGCGATAAACCAAAATGTCGGTCAGCCGCTTTGATGCTGTTACCTAGTTTTAAATGTGTCTTTTTATCTTTTTATTTTTCTTCTTTTTTTTTTGTTGAAATAATCGCCTGTGTATTTATACTAAAACAATTATTCACCTCAGGCTCAGTGAATATCGGGCATAATAACCTCAACTTCGTTTCGGTTATTATTCCGCGATATTCACTTCGCATTCGGCGAATAATTGTTAAATATCCACCTACAACAACTATTCCTCGAATGTTCAAAGTATATCAAAAGTATATTAGAAATTATGGGATACCAACTCTGATATTTTTTTCAGAAAGCGCTAGTGATAGACAACCCGAAAACAATACCATGGGGATGATAATCCATAATTTCTGATATACTTTTGATATACAGTAGAACCCCGTTAATTTCTGGCCACCGAAGGACGTGCCTGTGATACAAAAAAAATTCGAGGACCCCACCTGACTGCATTCAATTTTTTCCAGATTGATTGAAAAATTGATCAGAACCCCCTCAATAAAAAATGGTCGATAATATTTTACAAAATGGCTATAATGGCAAGTCACAAAAACTCGTACCTCACTTATTCACTATCACTGCCAAATGTTCCAACAACATAATCAGCATCATCATCATTTGAGTCTGTATCAGTGGAGTGTAATGCAAATTTTAATAGCCAAAAGGAAAACTTCATTGAAAGATGAAAAAACTTGAATTCATACAGGTAAGCAAAATAACTTTTCTCAAGACCCCCCTATTTTTTGCTAGAAATAATTCAGAACCCCCATTTTCTCCTCCACCCCCCACCCCCCACCCCACGATGTGCGTGCGCTCAAAAACCGCTGAAAAATCTAAATGATTTTATTGAAGAACCATACGCGTTTTGAGCATCAACAGGGCAAAACCATCAAATTTTGCAAATTTTCGGTGTCGCACGTTTTGAATCAGCATTAAATTTCTAAAAGTAAGCAGTCACCTTAGGCCGTGTAATAAATAAATAAATAGTCAAAATGTAATAGTCAGAGACAAAAGAGAGCAATGGAAATAGGGTCTACCAAAGTGTATTAGGCCTAGGGCAAACGTCGAACTTTCCATGCACCGAACTCATTAAAAACAATGGATATCAGATGATAATGAGACGGCAGTCTTTGATGTAATTAAGTTCGGTGCATGGAAAGTTCGACGTTTGCCCTAGGCCTTAGTGTAATCACGGCTATTTCACATGTTCATGACTTCACTCTACCACTTTACCCCCCACCCCTTTCCTCTGGTTTTGTATCACACGAATCCCAACAATGAAATTCTGCTTCAACGTTATGGCATCCCACCACACAATAAAACTTTATCCACAAATACCTTTAGTAGTACATTATTATATTATTATTACATATACCCTTCCCCATCTCTACTCGTTTTTGTTCAGTAATTTTGCTGAAAAAAAGAAATATCATAGGAAGCCCATCCCAACTACAATAACTTCACCACTTCATTATCAATTTGAAAATTAATATTCGAATTAATACATTAAAATCGTAGATCAGAATGATATAAACAAAGTAAAAAGTTAGAGGTAAATATATACTGTTTAGAGGTTATGATAATATTTTAAGATGTGAAAAAACACCAGAACGAGGCTAGTCAGTCAGTTTACTGAACAAATATCCCTGTAATTTTCATTCCAAATAACTTCACTTAAATTCTGATTTTATATTTTTAAAGATTCCTGTTTATCCCCAAGACTCAATGGCAGCCATATTGCATCAGGTCAATGTACTGTAATTTTCTCACCTGTTCAAAGGTTTTATAACTTCTAAATCCCTAACGATTTTCACTCTTATTAAAAAAGCATGACATTCCTTAGTCAATGTACTGTAATTTGCTCACCCATATCTTACAGAAGCCGTGTACAATAATTGTTTTATAACTTTTAAATTTCTAACGATTTTCATTTTTAAAAAAACTTTATGAACTTTGGCCTCCCTTTCTATATTTTCAATCTAATGTTCAAAAACATCTTTCAATTTCTGTTGGTGGTCAAAATGCAATACAAAAATGCTATTCACAAATGGTTTAACTCAGTGCTTGGAATATTAGTATTGGGTAATCATGGGAATATCATTAGAAAGAACTAAATTAAAGACATCTCGATTGTCACTATTTTATTATTTTAAAAATAGTTTTCCATACAAATTGACATTTTTCAATCACAGAGTTTTTAGTACTCCTCTCCTTCCTCTTCTCCCTCTTCCTCAACACTGTCTACTCCAACCTCTTCATAATCCTTCTCAAGGGCTGCCAAGTCCTCACGGGCTTCTGAGAACTCTCCTTCTTCCATACCTTCTCCAACATACCAGTGCACAAAGGCACGCTTGGCATACATCAGATCAAACTTGTGATCCAGACGAGCCCAGGCCTCGGCAATAGCTGTGGTGTTGCTCAACATGCAGACAGCACGCTGGACCTTGGCCAAGTCACCACCAGGAACAACAGTGGGTGGCTGGTAGTTGATGCCAACCTTGAATCCAGTGGGACACCAGTCAACAAACTGGATGGTTCTCTTGGTCTTGATGGTTGCAATGGCAGCATTCACATCCTTGGGTACAACATCACCACGGTACAAAAGACAACAAGCCATGTACTTGCCGTGACGTGGATCACACTTGACCATCTGATTGGCTGGCTCAAAGCAGGCATTAGTGATCTCAGCAACACTCAGTTGTTCATGGTATGCCTTTTCTGCAGAGATGACTGGTGCATAGGTGGCCAATGGGAAGTGGATACGTGGGTAGGGTACCAAGTTGGTCTGGAACTCAGTCAAGTCAACATTCAAAGCACCATCGAATCTCAGAGATGCTGTGATGGAAGACACAATCTGTCCAATGAGACGGTTCAAGTTGGTGTAGGTAGGTCTTTCAATGTCCAGGTTACGGCGGCAGATGTCATAAATAGCTTCATTGTCTACCATGAATGCACAGTCAGAGTGCTCTAGAGTGGTGTGGGTGGTCAGAATAGAGTTGTATGGCTCAACCACTGCTGTGGAGATCTGAGGAGCTGGGTAGATAGCGAACTCAAGCTTAGATTTCTTGCCATAGTCAACAGACAGACGTTCCATAAGCAGAGAGGAGAAACCAGAGCCAGTACCACCACCAAAGGAGTGGAAAATCAAGAAACCTTGGAGACCAGTACACTGATCAGCCTAAGAAAGCAAAAATACAGTAATATAGACATTAGAATATGATCATTTCTCAAGAATGCACAATGTTTTACATAAAGAAACACCAAAAAATAGTTGAAATACTTACAACGCAACGCGCCAAAAATATGATCACATTTAATGTATGCGCATATTTCTAGATCTATGCATGGTTCTGCACGTTATTAAACCGACATATTTGATGGGAAGCTGCCTTATATTTACCAAATAGGGCGTGCAAATGCTCGTTTTAAAAGAAAAAGCCCATGTATAGAAGTATACGAATACATTAAATGTGGTAATATTTTGCGCCTTGCGCTGTAAAATATGCTCGCAAAAAAGATTGAATTCTCTCTCTAGAAATAAATTCTCGTGAATTTGAAAACAAATCATAATAAATGTAAGCTTAGAAATCACCACTTACCAATTTCCTGATTCTATCCAGCACCAGATCAATGAGTTCTTTACCAACAGTGTAATGTCCACGTGCATAGTTGTTGGCTGCGTCTTCCTTGCCTGTGATAAGCTGTTCGGGGTGGAACAGTTGGCGGTATGTTCCAGTACGAACCTCATCTGAGAAATAACCAAAATCACACATCAATCAATATTTAAGAAAAAGAAATATAAAAATATCCAGAAAATACATTATTATGCCAAGATTATTTGTCTATGAGCAAAAAAGAATGAAAATGATACCAGATATCTATTAGTCTGACGGTTGCGAAACTTCGTTCCTTACACGTTTTGCCGCCAAAAGCTCAACCATATTCGATTCTACGGCTCAATTTAATATCACTGCCGGCCAAATTTATCGACTATCTCCAATGGAAAAACCAAATAAATATCTCTTAAATGATTTCAATTTGTAATATATTGTTATAGGAACTTAAGATTATCAAAACTTTATCTGAATGTAGGAAAAATGAGGGCTGTTTTTTCGTTGCTAGTGTAAACAAAACTCACCAACTACTGTGGGTTCGAGATCAACGAACACGGCTCTTGGGACGTGTTTTCCAGCTCCAGTTTCGCTGAAGAAAGTGTTAAACGAGTCGTCACCACCACCGATCGTCTTGTCGCTGGGCATCTGACCATCGGGCTGGATTCCATGCTCAAGACAGTACAACTCCCAACAAGCATTACCGATCTGGACTCCAGCTTGGCCGACATGGATTGAAATACACTCACGCTGTTGAAACACAAAAACTCACCTTTAGCTTTTAGAGATAAATAACAAGGGAAGCTTAATTTTACACTAAATATTTCAGAAATCATTTATCATTACTGCAAAGTTTGGTCTATGCCAAGAATCGAAAACAACGAGGATTCTAAACTTTCACCTATACTAAACCGATTTTGGAATTGAAATCAGTTCAAACAAGCGATCTTTTTCGCTAAATTCCTTTCGCAATACAATTCTTATACTGTAAAGATTGTTTTAGTACTTACCATTTTGATTTAGAGTTTTAGACTGGAAGACGTTGAGAAACAGAAAATCGAAATTTTATTCTTCACGGAGACGTAACGTTCCTCGTGGATATGAATAAGTATTGATGATACTGACCCCAGGGTCGTCATTTATATAGCCCGTTCGGTCGTCAAGAGGGATGGGCTCACAACAAACAAACGTCACGGGTCCCCAGGGGGAAAAGGTCATAGAAAATAAATTTTATGTAATCCCCCTTTGTTAACGATGTTGTTTTAAAATATCTTTACCATGGAAACTGATAGTCATAACAAAAGTCCAACGGCACACTAATGTTTTATCAAAATTCATATTTTTTTGTAGTACAGGGCATAGAGATTTGGTGCAAATGGTCGGTTGCCAAAGCAAACAACTGGAACAAACTTCTCAGAATCTGAATTACATTTAAACAAATATATCGGATACCTTATAAAGTTACTCAACCGTATTTTTCTTTGACCTAGACTACTCAAATGGGTTAATATATATTTTCGGCCGAGGAAAAAGTGTGGCTTGGATGACAACTTAAATTGGCGGTCCCGTCTCTCAGTCTCAACTGACATCTTTTCGGCATCGGTTGGACTTTCTGAGGCCGTAGTCACCAACCTTTGTGTCTGGACTATACTAATGATTTCTCGTGTTTACTTGATATCCAGAAAGAACTTTTATAGTAATTCAATCATAGCCTGAGAAAACAGACGTCTTTTCGCTCCCCGCCAAAGCAACGTTGTTACCGTTTTGCGGGGAGAAGGGGGAGCGGAAGGACGTCTGTTTTTGCAGGCTAAGTGAAACCAGAATCACAAAGAAGGAATGTCAAAGTATTTATTTTGTTGAGGTTGTGTATTCTTTACTTTACCGTTGATTTGTGAATATTTAGTCACTGATACTAGGCTAACCCCGAGTAAATGAGTCTGTAATCAAGAAACACAGCGAGCTTGGAACCCGAAAACGCTCAAATCCACAGGCAGCCCAAACAAGGTTCCTGTGTCTCCTGTGTATGGTTTATAAGGGAATGTATGGGAGTTATGATAAAGTTACGAAAATAAAATGTTTCACTCAACAATTTGCTTCAAAACTTGTTGTAGTCGTTGCTTTTTTTTCTTTGTTCAGTCTTCTGGCGAAGTTTCAGCGCGATTTGAGGCCGTTTAGTGGGTTTTTTCAAAATCCGCTCTTCTCTACCATTATTTGAAAAAACCCACTAAACGGCCTCAAATCGCGCTGAAACTTCGCCAGAAGACTGGACAAGGAAAAAGCAACGACTGCAACAAGTTTTGAAGCAAATTGTTGAGTGAAACATTTTATTTTCGCAACTTTATCATAACTCCCATACATTCCCTTATACACCATACACAGGAACCTTGTTTGGGCTGCCTGTGTCAAATCAAACAGCTAAATGAATCTTAGCCTGCGTCACATCCGGAATTTTCTTCGTAATTTACGAAGAAAATTCCGGATGTGACGCAGGCTAAATGAATCTCATCAGTGAATCTTAATACCAGTCTATAATGAAAAGCAAACAATGCCCGTCGTGTGCTATCAACCAGAGATATTGCTTGGTATCAATCTGCTGGAATGAATTTGCACAAAACAACAGAAATTCAATAACTGGCAAGAAAAAGGTTTTTATTCTAATAATATAATTCTGATACTTGCCTCTTAATTATGTACATATATAGTAGCAAGTAACTCCTTATCTGTTTATCGACTCCTCCTAAATATAGATTCAGAAAACGACTAAAATTCCATGCTTGGGCTTGCTGTGTCTTGTGGCAATAGCATGCAAGTGAGTCATGTGACTTTATTTTGTAGCGCATGTTGAAGGATGTTTACGAGAAAATGCGCTGCCCATGGTTTCCTCCCTAAAATTCGAAAAACACGTCACGTCATATGCGTAGAATAGATGCGCACAAACAATGCAGGCAAACATCCTTAGTAAGTGATACATTGCAAACAATATCCACGATGCATTAGAGTGCATTCAATCAAACCGTTGAATAGTTGACGTCACCTAAATTAGATAAGTAAGTTACTATTTTAGCTGACCTCACATAAATTTGAAGCTACGAGTAAACAGCTACTGAGATCAGGGGGAGAAACGATGATACAAATGAATGTCTATTCACTCATTCTCTAGTAAAACAACCCCCCGGATTAGCATGGTCGTTATTTGGCGCGCTTTTACTATTTTAGGTAACGTCAACTAAATAGTTATTTAAGTTAGATAGATTTATCTAACTATTCAACAGTTCGACTGAATACACTCTACTGCAAAATGTTCAACCTCGAATTAAAAATTGTCTGGAAAGCTTTTTGTTCCTAACTGAGCATGGAAATATTTGTCTTTTCACGAGAACCATAATAACAAAAAAGATTTTCGATGATCATCACTTTAGCATCAAAATTAAATAATAAGTACTAGAACAAAATAATATCAGTCTATAATAAAAGTTCCAGTTCAGACGGAAACATTTTGGCGCGTCGAATCTAATATTTACGAGTGCTAAGCCTAAACCAATTGAATTTGACAGATTTGATTAATATGAGAGCGGCAGAAAATCCAATTCGACTGATCCAGCTGCACGAAGATCGACGTTGAATCAAACGTCAAGCTTAATTTGCGTCAAATGCAATATATAACTGAATTATTCAGGCTCAATATTACAGCGACTAGTGATAAAAAACATGCGCAGTTGCATCGCCATGAATATGTCGTTGAGTTTATTGTGCGCGCGGACCACGTTTAGTGTATTCGCATACTTCTATACACGGGCTTTTGTACGTTAAACCGAGTCATTTCGATACGAAGCTTACTGGTTTTACCAAACAAGACGTGTAAAAGCTCATTTGGCAGCGCAAAGCCCGTGTATAGAAGTCTAATGATAATGATAATTGATAATGAATTGTAAATATTGTAGCTTCTATTTAGTGTAGTACTAGTGGCCTAGATGAAAATTACTCATGTAAATCTAGTAAACCAATAAAGTGTAATTATTTATAGAAGTCCGCGAATACATTAAATGTGGACATACTTTTGCGCGTTGCGCTGTAAATGCGACGTTTATTTATGGAAATTTATTTTTTTCAATCGACTTCAAAGGCTATTGGGAACGACGTGATAAAAGTTATACGTCTGAACTGGGCTTTATCTACGGCATTCTTATTTTAAACCACGTGCCGTCCCCTGGAGTATTTTTAGATCACGTGTCCTTCCCTCTCTTGAGAATAGGATTCTTTGTTTGACTTGTATTCATATTTATCTGTCTTCTCATGAGCTACCGTTAAACAAAGTAATGATACTCTAGGGAATGACACAAGATAGAGGTCTATTACTGTYCTTCTACTCAAACCGTGAAAACTCGTGTCAACCAATCAGATTACGAATCGAAAACAATAGCATTCGAGTTACATGTATTGAAAGTCTATAAAAGCTGTTCAAATGAAATGATGAAAGAGAATAAAATAAAACAAAAGTATATTTACACAAATAAAAGAAACTTGAGTATTCACGGTTCGAAAGTGGAACGACAGAAATAAATTATCGAGGGAAAATTGCAGACAATACACTTGGTATCACTTGAAATTCCCTTTACGACTTACGCTCTAAAAATGCCAAAACTTGATGTTTTTTTCGCCATTCCATAAAAAAATAAAATGAAAAGTTATTTTCTCGATTGGTAGAAAACGGACAGTTTTTCCTATTCAAAACCTTTCTTGAACTCTCCAAAAAAGGTCCGACAAACATACATACACAATGTTCTGTTTTGAAGGATGATTATCAATACGAGGGATGTTGAAAACCTGAGGACGATCGTTTGGTGAGACGTCAGGCCCTGTCTACTGATGGGGGTTGCCAGGCGTTCTTGGTTGGGGGAGGAAAGATTGGGGCAGAGGAGGGGACTGGAAGGATTTTGTTGTCTTCCTCGTTCTCGAGCAGAATGAACCATGAACACCTGCAATGCAGGGTCCTAGCTTCTTGGATCTAGGATCATTTCTTTTCCCAGAAAACGAAGAAAAGGGCTCATCCCAATCACCATGTAGATTCATCCTACCTTCGTAGATTGAGTATAAAAATATAGTCGCATTCGATAACTACAAAAGGGAAGCTGTGTTGGACTATCACGATGAGGACGAACTGTTTTGGGAGTTTTGTGAGGATGATGATTTCTTACTGGACGGTCTGAGGTAAGTGTCTTCACTAAGAGTCAATACATCTATTCGGTCTTCTTTTCTGTACGCTAAACAGCGGCGAATAAAGTTCTGAAAAAGAAAATCATACTTTGGTTTGCTTACTGAAAAAGATGGAGTCAAGGTTGGCGTAGAGGTAGCACGCTCGCCTATCACCTCTGAGGCATCGAGTTCCATAATTGGACTCTACATCTTGATGAGCCTAGAGGTTGTTTGATGGTTAGATCTGCGAGTTGGCCGTGGCCGTTGGTCGTTGAATACACACAACATTGAATATCTCAATAACAAACTCCATGCTCATAACGAGAATGAAAAGAGAAAACAAAAGTCATTCCAGCTATTCTTGAATATTGGAATGACCTATCTCCTATCTCCTATCCTCTTTTACTCGGACGAAGGACTAGCGTCCGAAACGTCAGTAAGTTTTTTCATCTTTTCACGGTGTGTAATTTACCTTTTCATCATTACTGTTTCATTAGAAACACCGACGCAGCTCTCACTAGTTTTTAGCTAGTTATATCTTCCTATCTCCTATCGCATTTGGCCTTGATACAATATTTTTTTWAAATAGAAATGTTACAGGCAAGTCTTGCATTATGCTGTGCTAGTACCTTGGCTTCACTACTAATGACTGGTTTGTTAGGGAAATCCACTTCCTTTGCTTTTAATATCGTACGGTTCTCTAGAATCGACGCTTGAGTTTGATTATGACCAAAGGGCTGTAAAAAATATAAATGAATAAATTATAATTAAGTATATTTCCAGAGTAGTATAGTGAAGGCATTTTACAAGTGAAATAAAAAATACCAATCAACCGTTAATAATAAAATAGACACAAGAGAAAACAAAGTTTACTGAAGTGTATCAATCTAAAGTGTATAAAAATAAAATAATAAAAAAACTTTATTTAAGTGTCGATGTATTTAGTTTATACAACTAACTGGGGACACTGGGATGAAACTGAAATGAAGAAATAATCAAAGAAACAAAGTGTTTTAAGAATCCCAACTGGCAAGGAGACAAACCAGTTGGCTATTAACAAGCATGTTCGAGAAACTGAATTTGAACTAATCAGAAACCAGGACAAATACAGTCTCAGCTAGTGGCCACAGCGGGACTCTAACTCTGCACCACTGAATTGCGAGACCGACGCTATGACCACACGACCATGCTGCCTCCCTACATGTTCTCTTCGATTGCACGTTACGTCTTCGTGGCCTCTCCGGGGAACTAGCGTTGGTGCCATTTAACAAAAAAATCCTAATTAGCATTCATTGTTAACGGCACCACAATGGCCGCCATGCTTTTGTCTTTTCACTCTCTTGGGAATGCTTGCAGCCCATCAATAGATTATAGCCTATCAATGCAAGCAAAGCAAGTCCCTGGACTCACCTTTTTACCAAATAACATTTGATAGAATATGACTCCTACAGACCACACATCGACCTTGGAGGATATCTTGGGTGGTACCTTGCCTATTTCGAAACACTCAGGGGGGAGGTACCAGTAGGTTCCTGCTCCCTGTGACGTCAGCTCCATACTGTCATCTCCTTCATTCTCGAATATTTTACTGAGTCCAAAATCTGTGATTTTTGCCTCGCCACTTAACGCCCCTTTGCCAACTAAGAGAATATTACCTGCAGAGAACATTATGCTGTTAGGACATCTGAAAAACTGTGGAGAAATGCAATTGAAAGGAAAGAGGAAAAAAGTAAGGGGGAGGAGAAGGAGCAGGAGATGGAGATGGAGGAGTAGGAAGAGGAGGAGGAAAAGAAGAAGGAGGAGGAGAATGAAGTAGAGGAGGAGGAGCAGGAGAA